GTTGTATCTGCAACTGTATTTGATAATGCTTTGAACTTTTAAAATATTGCACAGTAAAAACAGAAGCTGCACTTCATATTAGTGACAAACCTTGGCATGTTTTGGTGGGTTACCTTCATTTTTGCTTCTACTTTTCATTTAAAATAGGTTTCCATTCTCGGCAGTTTTTTTTTTCTCAGCAGGTTTCTAAGGTTGTTTTACGTATTTACAAAAGCTGTTAAACATCTAAGTGGTGCACTACTGCTACTAGCAGTCCCGTGGCCCTCTGCGGCCCAAAGTTTATTTGACAGGAACTGTTGTTCTTTTGAGGCCCTCGAGGTGGCGCTCGCGGCCCATATGTTAAGAATCTCGCGAAACATACGAACTCTTTAAACTAGCGGTTATGAATACAAATAGGACACAGTCAAAGTGAGTATAGCACAGAGGTGTGACACTAGTCATTCCATATAAAATTTAATTATCAACCTGCACTGTCTAATCTTTTGATATACCCTTGCCAGAAAGAAGTATACTTTAAGTAAATGTTAAGTCTACTAAAGTATATAAAAATGTACTTTTATTTCCTAAGTACACATATATAAGTATACTAGCAGTTTCCTAACAAATATACTGTTTTGGGACTAAATTGGCCCACTTGAAGTTTATAAAGTATACTAAAAGCAAACTTATAAGTATATTATGAGGTTACTTGTAACAAACTTTAAGTTTATTTTTAGTTTATCAATGTACACTTGAATAGATACTGAAAGTAATCTAGGTATACTCTTCCCCTCATATGTTTGTGTCTGACAAAGCCCAAAAAGACACAACCTGGCTCAGGAAGTCATGACCAAAAAGGAGACACTGATTTTTTAAAAGTATATGTATACTTTTAACAGTTAACAGTTTAACAGTTGACCACTCCTGAAATCTGAGTGGTCCCCTGAAGTGCGCCTGTCCTGTCACTCATCTGTCCTTTGCAATGATGGTGGGTGCAGTTCCATGCCCATATGCTGGAGGCGCTAATGAGTCAAACAGTAATGTCAAGCATGAATCAATGGCCCAGTCCCAATGCTCAGCATACGCAACCTACTCCCCTCTGTGAAGTCTGGATTCAGTCAAAGTGCACATAATGGGCCTCATGCAAGAACATGTTCGTATTCTTATCCTAAATTTCTCTTACTTTTGTTCGTACAAAGGGTTCGTACGAACATGTCACGTCGGATTCAACAAACACTTCTATCTTCAGGAAAAGTGTGTAAATGAGCTGCGTAAACAGCATAGAACAGGTGGAATACCTGTTCTATCCAGCTGCTCGTGCACGCGAGAGGAGATTAGCATAATTACCACCCCAAAAACACCATATAAGGC